TAGGCCAACCAACCAACCATAAGCTCTTAAGATGTTTAGTAAACACACCCAAACGAATTTAATAATCAATGAAGAGTGGTATCGTATCGTCATTTACTTTTATCCTTTACCCTCGAGCAGATTTCAGCTATGAGCATAATTAAGTATAATTTATAAAAGGAGACCTTTGTAAATAAAAAGTTGAAAAATGTTCAGCTAGCTATGTTGACAAGGGGACCAGAATAAACAAAAGTTAATAAATTATTAATTGATAAAATGCAAAAATGGGATACAGAGAAAGAAATAAAGGCGTCGTTATATACGGCCGGATCAAAGTTTTTTTCAACATTCACCATACAATGGGGGCCTATTTCATGGTATATTTCGCCAGGGGAAGACGAAATACCAAGCTACAAATCCTCAGGTTCCATAATTGGGCTAGGACCTACATAGCGGCGTGTGTTTCTTAAAGAATATTTTTTCAAGGCCTATATTAGGGGGGTCCACGAAAGGCGTAATTTTTTTAAAAAATATTTTTAGAGCTCCACCAAAGGCGTGGATTGTTTAAAAAATATTTTTAGGAGTCCACCAAAGGTGTAAATTTTTTAAAAAAAGTTTTTAGACGTCCAGCAAAGGCGTGGATATTTTAAAATATATTTTTAGAGGCCCACAAATGCGTGGATATTTTTTAAACAAATTTTTAGAGGTCCCCTAAAGACGTAGATTAAAAAAAATATTTTTAGGGATCCACCAAAGGCGTGGATTTTTTAATAAATATTTTTAGGGGTCCATCAAAGACGTGGACCAAAGGCGTGGATTTTTTAAAAAAATATTTTTAGGGGCGAGGATTTTTTAAAAAATATTTTTAGGGGTCCATCAAAGACGTGGACCAAAGGCGTGAATTTTTTAAAAAATATTTTTAGGATTCCATCAAAGACGTGGACCAAAGGCGTGAATTTTTTAAAAAATATTTTTAGGATTCCATCAAAGACGTGGACCAAACGCGTGAATTTCTTAAAAAATATTTTTAGGGGTCCACCAAAGGCTTGGATTTTTTAAAAAATATTTTTTCAAAGCCCCTAACTTCTCCAGTCCAGTCTTTTAGTTAAATTCTGATTTTATATTTACTAAAGTTAATCGATAATTTTTCCAATTCATCAATGTTGGGCTAACGTGCAATGTTCCAATGTCTTAAAGATGAAATAATTGTTAACCCCGCCCATCATCTTTCTATTTTCTTCTCTCCCATAACTATTTATAGCAATTAAGCCTTCACATATTGCTAATTTAACAACTTCCTATTGAATAAAGTTTGTTTTTCTCTATTTGCAAAAACACGCATACACACACAAAATTTGTTGTTGTTATATCTCACCCAGGACACCACAACAAAATTAGTTGGTAATATCAACACTAATCTTCTTACAATTCGGTTTTCGTTCTTTGTTTGGTTTCGTTGTCTGTTGCGGTAAAACCACTTTTGTGCAAAGATCCTGCCATTCGAAATGGCAAAGCTTTTACAAATGTCTTGCCACAATGACTTTGCGTGCAAGTATATGTGTGTGTTTAATTCTGGAGAAATGTTTGTGTTTGTAAATCCACATTGCACATAATTTGATATGTGTGTGTCAGTGTTTGTACACATGTCAAGTGTAGATTTACCCTGCATGTATTTCAGAGAAATAAAGAATTTTACAAAAAAAGAAAAGAAGAAAAAAAGTAGATTAAATTGTAAATGTCAAGAGTGTGTCTTACAATGCAGATTTACATGCATATATTGGGAGCCAAGAAGAAGTAAAATAATGTGGTAAATAAAAGATAGAGAAAGTGATTAACAAAAATGCCAATATTTATACCCTACACAACTATGTTGTCAGGTTATTATAGCTTTGTGCGACCCGCGAACGATCGACATATTTCGACTACCTGAGTCGATCTAGCCATGTGTATCCGTCCGTCTGTCCATTAGAATTTGTAAACACGCTACAGACCACAGTTATGCTACAGACCAATCGTAGGCTCGGTCCTGACCAAAGAATATCCCTACTGTTATTGGCAGTAATCGGTTAATATGGACCAACAACTTTATTTTTGTCTGTTTCTCTGGTCGCTCTAAAGGCCACAATTCTGACCCGAACATCAAGAAATTTTACGCATAAGCAAAAAGCAATTATATATTTAGTCTGGAAGGACATAGACCTAAGAAGTTGATAGTATATCAGATAGGAGTGGTTGACCTTTAAATAGATACCAATTATATTGTTGTAGGTACTACAATGTGGGAGTTAAACACCTGTAAGTGTTTACGTATTCCGATATTTTTAGTTTTACCATTACACTAGAGGGCGAAAATATAGCGCTAATGACTTGAAAATTAGCATGAGGTCCCGGTTATGGTGAAAGACGACGCGAATAATTTTCGACGATGATCAGTTGATATTTCGTGGTTATCAAGTCATTCTACAGTCCACCATTATAATGTCGTGATAATTAATCCTGGAAAACATGATACGGAAGTAACACCACATCAAAAATATTCAAAGCTTTTATTTGAGGAAAAGAACACAATTTGAATCTTATGAATCCTGAAAAACATGATACGGAAGTCATGCCGCAGAGAAGCTGTTGACCACCAATCTGTCAAGAGAGTGTAAATATCTAGAAATATTACCCTGGCACTAAATATAGACCTGCAATGATCATTGGTCGTTGTGAAGGGTATCATATGTTCGGTCCCGCCCAATTATACTACTCCGCTCACTGGTTTTATTTGTCTTATTTTTTATAGAAGACGTATAAAGGTTCTTCTATGCATACAGGATCTATAAACGGTATCTATGTATAGAAGTCCAATAAAAGGGTTTTTAGAATTTTACATGGTCTTCTAGAACTGTAAATGGTCTTCTAGACCTAAAACACAAGATCTTATTTAAAAAGTCATAAAAATCAGCTCCTGTTACGATTTTTTCTTTTATCTCCTCAATTGTAGTAAAACTATTTTCTTTCTCCGGGGTCTTATTATTTGCTAAGAGGGAAAGGTGAGCAGGGGCCAATTCCGATGAATACCGTGGTTGATTTTTTTTTTTTTTTTGTGGAAAAACTCACGCATAAGCATCAATGTATGAAGAATATATCTGAAGATTTAGATTGCGCAAACGGCGCATATTTTTAAGGTAGAATTTCTCATTCACCGTTCTACCTTGTAGCAAGGATTAATAATGCACCATGCCTTCACATCTGACCAAATTTTCCGACCTTGGCTCTTCTGGTCGTTTTCATTAGTATGATTGGGAGTTGATTCAATTAAACGGCACCTCTGCACTATAGGCCCAATGGCATGTTACTGAGAAAAAATCAATTTTTAAGTCATACATTTATTCAAAATGGAATCGGAATTAGATTCATAACACTTAGGACCATTCAAAAAGAAAAGTATTTTCTATAAAATGCGGATACATTTCTAATAATAACATCAAAACATGGATCTATGATGTTAATTTTCAGTCTTCAATATACCGACCTAAAACCTTCAAAATACCGACTCCGGAATTACTGTTCTATGGAAGCTATACCCAACGTGGTCCGATATATCCCATTTTGCAATACCTACCATCCTAGGAGTAAAAGCATGTCAGTGCAAAATTTTAAAATTCTATCTTAAGTATTGTGATTTCAACAGACAGACATAGCAGATGTGTACACTCCGAAGAATTTTCAAATATTTTGTTATGCAATTGGTCTTTCAATTGCCTTCATAGCTCATATGTAGGTCTGTGTTAAGCGTCCCTTTATGTAGGCATCATCTATCAAATACCTATACTAGAGTCCTGTCGAAGATCTTGTTTGCACAAGTGACAAATGAATAATTCCAGAACATATGTTTCAATAATAAATTACTCAATATAATGTTATGCATACACCACAATATGCTCAAATAATTGTTATTGTATAATAACAATTCTATTTATCTTGTAAATAGTTATATTACCATATATATATATATATATATATATACTCGTACATATGTCACATGTTTTATTTGTGTTAGTGTATACCTTTATTCTCCCATTACACACTGTCATACTGTGCGTATAATTAATTTCAATATGTATACGACACCAGAATACAATTCTGTGTACAACAACAACTGTGCTTAATAATTTATTAAACACAGGTTATTTTTTTATATTGCCATCTCTTGAAAGAGATCTCCAGAGCATAACAATAATGGAAAATATTCGAACAAACACACACACACATACCTATACTTTTTTGGAAATCTGTTGGAGGATAAGCTTGATAATACTCTGGACTAATGTACACATGGTGATATAGATACTTGTATGTATATATGTGTAGGGGGTATTTGCAGAAGACAAATAAATAAAGACCTAATAAAGTTAAACCTCAACAGTAATGACAATGAAATGCATGACTAAAAAACCCGAAATGGTCCCATCTGCGAAAGCATTAAACGACTTTGGAAATGTTCACATTTTTTTCTTTGCAAATAACATGAAGGTGTGTATTACTTATGCATAAAGTACCAATTAAATATGTATTGTTAATGGGACGAGGTCATAAATAAAGCAGCAATGTAATACATAAAATAAGGATTAAACTCCAAGGGGGAGAGATACAATATTAACAATTGAAAACATATATACATAATATATATTCCTATTTCTAACTAAAATATTTTTCTACAACATTTTTTCTATAATATTTTTGTTACTAAATAATGTTAAATACATTTTTTATATAAACATTTTTCTATTATTTATTTATTTTTTAATTTTTTTTTTTAACTTTCTTCTATTTTCATGTAATTGTTTTTTGGTTCGTAAACAACACCTCTGGCAACATTACACGATATCCCTTTTTTACTACCAACTGCACAATCCCAAAACAAAACTTTTTTAAACACCAAAACCAACCTCTATCCAACATCATCACCACAACGACGTTCAACAACAACACATTGCCATGAAACCAACAAATACGCCTCCTCCAACCCCTAATATACACAGGCAAATTAGCAGCAACACAATGGCGTACTCGATTTGGTCGTCTATCCAAAGTACCAGCTTTGGGTGAAGTGGATCCAACAGGATCATTTTGTGCCTTTCCTGATAATTGGTTGAAAATGAAAGCCGGTAAACAAAACAACAACAACAGAAACATATTTATTATATAACACTAACAACCTAACAGCACCCATTTTACTTTCAATGAACTTTGCCACCAAACACATAAGAGCGCCTAATAATACACCACCAAATTTTTAACAAAAATAATTTTTAAATCCTTTTTTTCAAAGACCTAACTAACTATTGGTTATGCTTGTATAAAAAAATTGGAATGCTGCTTGTGTGTTATTTAACTAAATAGAAAGAAACATTTACAATGGAATCTCTTGCCAACGGAAAATTTAAAATTTATGAGAAGATTTTTTCACAAAGTATTAGTATTGTAAAAAATATTTCTATTCCTGTTGTAAGAGGCTCCACTGTATATTTGTACACCTTTATTGTGAAAAGTTTAATAATTGATTTTTTTTTGTTATTTACCTTTTTTATAGCCGAAAAAGCTGTTAGTCCTTCGAGTGCGGATTTATGGAAAAGTAAGTCTTATTGAAATATTGAGGTTTTACAACAACTAATTGAAATTCCATTTTTCTTTCCCTTTAAAGTTTTCTTTGTGAATGCTGTGCCATTTGTTGCGTTTGGTTTTCTGGATAATTTCACTATGATTATTGCTGTAAGTTGGTCGCAAAAAATAAATACAAGTAAAAAACAAGTAGACACATTGTTAAGTTCGGCAGGGTCGAACTTGGAGTACGTTAAAAATTCGGTCGGGATATTTATGCTATGATGCTATATGATAAAATAATGTTTGAAATTACAGACACTCTAGTTGGAAA